TACCTGCTTATTATGAGGGAGAATGACTAAAGCGTTTACGCAACTGCGAAGTGAAGCACACTCAGGTGTGATTGTTCCTAAAATGTTGACTTATCACGGCAGGCAACCGATCGCTATGATTGTGACCACGTGTTTGTTCCTTTGATCTTCTGTACTACAAGAGCAAGCTGATGTGTAAGCTAGATAGCAAGTATTCAAAATCTTGCAAAAGAAAGGAGATCGAATTCACGTGACATCAAAAATCATACAATGATTCAGGAGACTGAAATCTTCATAAAAGGGTGATGAACACTTGCTAGATAGCCGTTAATAAGCAGCGAAAAAATTAAACGGAAGTCTGTAATGGAATGACGGAAATGAGCAGAACTTTATGAGCAGAACTGGACAGAAACTATAAAGTCTTTTAACTAACAAGGAAAGGATAACAAGTCGAAATGGCCACCCGTAATGAAACCTATACTCATGGATGTGTTTTCGGACGCTGATCTCGAATCCGCTCTCCAAATTTGCGGAAGGACTTCTCTGGTAACAGTTATAAGGGTTGTTTCAATTTAAGCTCGCTGTAAGCGACACCGACAGACCCACCATTATGGTGACGGCTTGCCCGAGCGGTAGTGTGCTGTTTGCAGTAGTGAGACTATGGATGGGATCTTGCTGGGTATGAAGTTTTGCTCTTTAATTAGGTCTGTTTCGAGTATGAAAAATCATTCAGTGGTGAAATTCACACTGCGGGCGCTGTCACGTGTTTAGAGGAGTTTGCTTCAAGCATCATCCACTTTTGCCGTAATGTTTCCGACCACCGTCGGGATGTTTCTACGCCACGGAAGGTGACGTATCTCCGATGATGGGCTAAACAAATGGGAGATGCTTGCTCAACGGACAAAATTATCTTTGAAGGCTTACTTCTAGAATGCTGACATTTGGACTTGAAACTTGGTCCACAATCAGTCGTTGGTGCTACCCCTAGTTCTGTCCACTACCCTCGTGCTATCCTGCCATAAACGGCAACTTGAAAAAAATGCCATACAATTCTTTAGATGGCGCAAGCAAGTAAGCATACACGTATATCTCTTTCGCAACAATGACTTGAAAGTTTAGTTCCATCCCATGATCAGGCTCTGACAATGGGTTGATGGATAGATGACTGCCCACATTTTCGACTTCAAGTCAAAATTTTAGATTTGGACCAAATGTTGTTGAAAGGGGTGTTTCGACGCGCTGAACACGAATATCGCATCTGCTTGGCACGAAATTGCCTGACGCGTGCGCTACGGGTGCCAGAGGCGGTCACTTGCAAATGACGCGCACAGTGTTCGAAGCTCTTCGCCAGCTCTTTCCACTTGTGCTATAGGCAATCGCTGATGAACTTAGCATGATAAGAGTCCCTTAAACAATGTTTCAAGAAAAGCAAAAGTGAGAACTCGCCAAGAACTCGATCTCACGACCTCTTGTTCGTCGGCCGGGCCGCTGCCACTGCACTATCTCGCTTCATAACTACGTTCAGAGAATCGTTTCGCAGATTTGGAGAGCAGATTCGAGATCAGCGTCCAAAAACACATCTAGTGGTGTATGTCTCGTTACAAATGGCCACTTCGACCTGGTATCCTTCCCTTGTTAGTGTCAAAGGCTCATAGCAATGTCACTTTTGAGATCTGTATTGATCATTTCTGCAAGCGCTACGACACCCTGGAGCGGTCAGTTATGGCCGCTCCAGGGTGTCTTAGCGCTTGCAGAAATGATCAATACAGATCTCAAAGGTCCCCGCCTGAATATATACTTCAGGACTACCGGGTCATGCTAAAATGGAGCACAGGAAGAGAGGTAGCTACGGTGGAAACAGTTTGCCGTGCTATTAGACTTTTGTGGAAATATCGATGTTGGTTCTGCCTACAGGTTCTCTTCAATCCTGAATGCTGGCCGATTGGAGCCATATCGATTTTTCCTAAGGCCATATCTCGTCGTGGCAGCATGCTACCTTCTTCTTTACGTCCCAATGACCATAGAGGAAACCGACACGTTTAATTCCTCTAACGGAATATATGTTGTTCTGGCCTGGGCACTGTCTCATCCTCGGACGCTGTATCCTTAAACTGTTGCGATATGTTACCAGCGGACACGCGCGCACTCGACGTCAAAGACTGCAAATGGCACTGGCAGTCGTTTTATGCATCTACGGCAACTTCACCTGAAGGGGTGAGGGCTTGTCAGCTAGTTGACGCGTTTGAATATCAATTAACTGTCTGCTCAGAATCCAGAGGAAGGACAAACATGTAACTATAACTACTACTGAACTTCTGAAACTCAATGCCTTCAAGCAAGAAGCTTGCTTGCGCATACTGTACAATTCTTCGCTCATTTCCAACATAAGGGTACGATGGAAAGGTCTCTACCTCAATTGCGAAAAGGAAACGCTATACTTCACACGCCCTGCGGTCCTCAAGGTGTTGGACAGTAAACGCTGCGCTCGCACGGGATCCTGCATCGAAGAAAAATGTGCGAATATCAACAGCTCTACCTTGGTCCGCGAATTAGAAAAGGCCAATCGGTACCCGGGACGCACGGGATGTCTCGAGTCGTGCGGATGGTCTAGGCTGCGGCTGTTGGTACCCCAGTTCAGGCTGCCTCTTCTACAGGGTTTACGCTGTCCCCACAGCAGCCACGGTATATGAAGTATTATGATGCGTACGCTTGTCACAACAAGTTAAGTTGTTGCTCACAGTGGAAGACTTTCATTACGAGGGAGGGGAAGCAACAATACGAGCTTCTGGTAAAACCGAAATGTACCCGCGCAGCTCTCTTCATTGCGTCTCACCATGACCTCAGTGAGCCTTCCACCTACACCACTACTCCACAGCCATTTCATATCCAACGGCCAGGAGACGTCGATTTGGCATAAAAGTGAAACGCCAAATCTTATCTGCGCTTCGCGGGAAGACGCTGCAAACATGACTTGCTCGGTCGCTGAAAACTGCCGATGCGAACCTGCCGAGAACAAATTCAAATGCGAATGCTCCACCATAGATGTGGAAAAAGAATTTAACCATCTCGAAGCCAAGTTTCCAATAAGATTTCCGGCCTGGGAACTATCAACGAGTAAGGATAGTACGGTTACCGCCAAAATACCAGACATGGTATCGGCTGATGTGACAGTGAACTTCCAGTCCACCTTGGATGCGGTTGCGATAATGGTCCACAACCGCTGCGCAAAAGGAGCACAAGTGACAGTACGATGCAAATTCGAAAGGAGCACATTAGGGGAAGTCATATGCGGCCGAGATTCATTTGTCATACCATGTTCACCGAATGCAACGGAATCATTGCTGCAGTTTAACTTCAATTCTGCGCGACAATTCCTGAACTGTTCGATATCATGTGGATCCAATACTAACTACTTTGTGGTTGCCGGAGTCCTGAAGTATACTGGGAAAATTTCAATGGTTTTTGCGAATCTACTCGAAGGGAATAGTACTACCTATAATACTTTCCAATGGCCGGATATGGACTACATGGTCAACGTTGTCGTAGGATGGTGCAAAACGCTACTCCTGGGCATGGTAATTCTGGCCGTGGCACTGTTGCTATCATACCTCTATTCTGCCAACAGTAGGACTTTGCCTGGGCCGGCTTGTGGTTAAGGTCGTCTGTACGCTTTTATGCTGCCCCTTGAAAGCACTCCTACGAACGGTCCGATCACCAAAGCGGAGGGAAAAACACCATATTGCCCATTACGCATGAAAAGGTTTTCTAACTCGGAAGATAGCAAGTGGCCTCGTGACTATAGTGTAACCTGCTTTTTTGACCCCTAGACGCTTAGACGCTTATACAGTACTATTGCTAAGATTTTGAAGAGCAGCACTCCTCAGCTTCAGTCGCTAATGGTAACACTCTGTGGTTGAGCATGGTGGAGACGCAGAACGCCTAAAAGCCGATTATGATGCCCTCCTAAGAGCCCTTCCGCCACTTCCGGAACCGGAAGACCTCTATGCAAGGATTATCCGAACGTGTAGACAGTTCTTGGGTCTCGTCGAAAATCCGTCGACAACCTGGGATTGTGGATACGGTCGATGAGGACCTCGCAAGATTCACGGCAGGAACGTTACGCTTTATATCGGTTATTAGTAGAGACGGTCAATAGGGTCAGGCTCGAGCTTTATCTCATACGATCACAACTCGCTACTCTCTGGGCTCTCCAAGTCCTTCTAATTGCAACGCACAAGGTCGAACCTGAAGTATGGAGAATGATGATCAACAGACAACAAGAAGACGATGACGGAAAACCATTGCTCGTCAACAACAAGCAGCTGGAGCAAGCTATACTCGACAAGCTTGGCATCCTGGAGGATCAATGCGCCAACTTACGGGAATACGGTGATTCACTCAAACAAGAGAATCTTCAAGAGGACCGCCACTTCCGTGCTCAGGTACTTGTGGAGTTGGAATCGCTACGATGTCTCATCTCTAACTTCATCACTCATTCCGCAGCCTCGGAATCGACAAAACACCGCATCGACGACGACACTGATAGAATGGGAGTGATGAAACAACAGATCGACAACCAAGTAGACGAATCCGAGGTGATCCGGAATAACGAGCAATTTATGGAGCAGCTACATGAATTTGATGAAGAGCCACCAATAGAGAATGACCTCGTGATGATCGATGAAGGACGCGCAGATGGGAAACGAAAGTGACGCCGAAGTTCGTTATGCAGAGCAAAGTTTTGACAAAAAAAGTGACGCCAAAATTCGCAATGAAGAGCAAAGGAATGTCAATGAAAATAACGCTGAATTCCGTAATGAAGCGAAAAGGAATGGCCCTGAAGAAGAAGGCGAGAACCGTAACGAAGAGCAAGGGAAGGGTCCTGATGAAGAAGAAGGCGAAATCCGTAATGGCGAGCAGGGTGTTAGAGCTCAACGACCAGTTCAGCAAGCTCGTGACGAGATAGCCGACTTGCAGCAGCAACTACGACAAGCAAGACAAGCAATGCCGACTTCCGAATGATGATCAACGAACTAGAAAACAGGGAACGATGTGAAACAAGAAAATTCGACGGAATAATCCAGAACCCTAACGAACGCTTCATGCCGTGCGCCTTTTGCGGACGAAGAGGGGATCATTATTCTGATTCTTGCTTAGTGTACAGGTTCACGGGAGAACGGAAAGAACGCGTAAATCGAGCACACCTATGCACTATGTGCCTCGACTACGACTGTCCAGGAGGACGACGATGCTTGAAACGCAACACGAGATGCTACCACTGTGGACGTAGTGGGCACAATTCTGCGCTGTGTACCCTGCCAGAAAAGAGCGTACGTATCAACGATGAGCTGGAGCTATTGCAGCGACGTTACAATGACGCCCTCATCCGTGTTCTCAGATTGGAAAGGAAACTCCGAAGACGCGGAGTGGACATGTGATTGAATTCCAGCAAGCATGTGGTGGCCGGGAATATCGCGGCGATCCGCGAGTTGCAAGATTTGGGTAAGACGATGAAAAAGTACATAGTATGTATGTTACTGTCATCACTTTCATCATGGAACAGCTGTAATTTTCTTTGACACAGAAAAACTCTTTGGACGTCGGAAGAACTTCGAAAAGGACCGAACATCTGGGCTTTTCCTTGGAATGCTGGAGAACCACCACCTGCGAACTCCGTATATAAGCGCCCGAGCCTGACACTCGTCCGATCGTCTTTTCATACATATTTTGACGCTTTATATTTTATAGTGAAATCTATTTACTCGTTTAATTACCCAAGTTTGAGGTACCTGATAATGGCGGTGGTCGTGGTATAATAAAATTGGTGTTATCCTTATCGTGTGGTCCCGTTGTGGATTTAAAGGCAAATGTCAGGCTCGTGTTTCGGCATTATGGCACCTGATATTGAGCTGTGGAGGCGAAACTTAACGACTATACTTGCTATACGCCAGGTAGCCTTTAGAGTTTTTTTTTCACTTTTTTACCCTGCCAACCAGCTGATTTGTGCTTTATTGCGGCGCTTTTAACCGAAAAATTGTTAAAAATTTTATGAGTAGCTCTTATTCCTACCACGAATTTGTCACAATGGCAGCAAAGGGGTTTCGTTTGCATCCCAGATGGCCGTCAGTAGGAAATTCCAGATTTCTCACACGTGGGAAGAACATTTCACCCTTGTAATGCAGTAATCTAGCGCGCTAAAACGCTTTAAACTTAAAATTGGATGTTGAAGGTTGAACTCATTTCTTTTCCACGATCCATTGCATAATAGTATGCAATCGCTCCACCGCGAACTCCGCCCCATGCGCCGCTTATTTCGGTCCAAGTGTCTCTATGTGTCCACAAAATGTTTTGGTTTTCGAAGGGTTGACATTACAAAGTCTGAATTCTCATGCACAGGACTGCAAGTAGTGATGGAACACGCAGGGTGGACTACGCAGAGCTCACTTCGTTGAGTAAATCATACATGACTCATGCCAGCCCAGTTGCTTTTTTGGTTTTTGAGATCTCAAAAGAAGGGAGCCATGTTTTTCACACTTGATTTATGAACTTCTGCTGAGCCACATACCGGTCGAAGCCATCGTTCTGCTGTACATCTCCTTGTCGTCGTACACTATGCGATATCAAAATACTCAAACCTGCACCGCTCTGCCTGGAGACTGAAGCCTCGAGAAAATCCTGATTCGTGAAGGCAATTGGTGTTCGATTTGGACCTGCTGTGCTCTCCTATTGGAAGCAACCGCACGAGTTATTTTGCTATGTGACCGCCACACTCAGACCTTTCAGGTACAGGATTGGAAGAGATCTGCCTCCTTTGGAAAATTGCAGAGGCTTGGACAAAGAAATCCTCATGAATGACCAGTAATCACATGAGTGTGACACGAGTTCAGTCAACATCTTCTATGCTATTCCATCCAGACGCGGTGGCTGAACAACGGCGCTACTGCTGATGAGAGGTGGTTGTTCTATGCTAACCACCTGCAGAAGCACCAGTGGCTGTATCAATCAGAATTGGGTGAAAACTGTCAAATCTAGAAAAACGCTATGGCATACTTATAAAAAGCAAGTCGCGAAGCAGCCGCTGAGAGCTTCTCTCCAGCTTCGGCCTTGTAACAGGACAGGTCTCCTGTAATCAACGCTTGAAGCTGTTAAGAAAACTCCAACTAGTACGCTCACAATTCAATAAAGTATGTCCGCGCTACGACAAGTGAGACCACGTGTTTCTCTCTTCCACGCTCTAGATTCGAAAGTTCACTTGAAGTCCCGTCAGATCCATCGCACAGCAGGGATAGACCTCCACCCAAAGGCCAACTACTCTTCTTGGAGCAGCCATCTTGCCAGCAAAAAATACGATCCAAAGAAAGACCTCAAAATCGACATCACTGCCTTTACCACCTTGAAACTGCGGACTACCGGGAAAATGACATCGACTCCTTTGTGATATGTTGGCAACAAGTCACTGATAGTGATGGTCCGTATATTGATGGTGGATATTGCTTTTTGTTGAGATTATGTTAACTCAAAAAAATGTTCAAAAGTGGCACGAACTTTTGGGACAACCTAATACATCAATGCGAATAAGTAATACAGCGATTCCGTGAAAGAATGCCAGAAAATCGAACTGAGCCCAATGACAAAACCGATGCCGGTAGAGCTGTGCACAATCGTGATAAAAAGGTCAAGCACCAAGGTAGAAGTCGTGCAAACGATCCCTTCGGTCTGTAGGATGGTCCACTAAAAGACAATCACAGATCTGTAACTCCCGTTCTCAGAAATTATCGGCAAAAGCGCTATGGCCTTCCAAATTGAGATGCAACTCCAACATATTTTTTCGGACTGTTGTCTGGTGCCTTCCCATCTGGTGCGCTTTCTCGCCTCATACTCTCTTCTCCGCGCTGAGTCTCTTATTGCCTCAGTAAGGCAATTTCGACCAGGACGAAAATCGCAGTAGTACGTGGTCGCAAAGTACGACCTTCCCCACCCGAAATCGAGATCTTGGCACGACCCCCTTAAACAGAGCAAATTGATTCAATTAATTAACCAAAAAAACCCTGCAAAATAATGTTATGGACGCCTCTGTGCACTGTCTTTCATCGCTGCACACTTTTGTGTATTTACTGAAATATACAAGATTATAAGCTCAGGAGATTAGGGTAGTATACCGTATATTTAATGGTGCGCGTCAAGCAGCGTGTGTATTTGGTACAGCTGCACACAATATCCTCTACCTCACGTCAAGCCCTTTGATTCGATCGATCCTTCCTCTTTTCTTGATCGAACTTCTTTTTTGAAGATACGATTGTGGACTAGTCCTATCCGAGAGATGTTTTCTCTTCGTTTAAATGAATGAGCATTTACGTATCGAGTTTTAACGTTGTGTTTGTGTAAGTGTCCAAGTGTCCAGGTCGGTACAATTTTGATTCTTTTCGATTGTTTATTATTAGTTGAACTCCATAACGACTTGGGATTCGATAGGCGATGTCTTTCCGAGTGTGAAAGAGATGTATTCATCCTTGAAACTACGGATAGAACGCAAAATCTATCAACCTGAACACTTGGAATTTACACAACACCAATATAACTGTTCTAAATAAATCACATCCATTTTCACTCTTACAAATCGATGAAACCTACCTTCAGTTTTTAACCGAGTCTTCAGAAAAGAAGTTCCGATTAGGAAAAGACAAGATGTTTCTTCAGCAAGGGGAATAAAGGAAAGGAATATTTATGAAAAGGAATCAGGATTCACAAGAGGGAATATTCTGCTGTATTCCAAGAGTTGAACTCATCAGAGTCCACTGAAAGTTTTAAACTGAAATAGCAAATTCTTGGAACAACTCATTGAGCGAGCTCGCAAAGTTCACAGCTTTTCATCAAATACGTATCCTTCTTTTCAGATAGTTGAAAACTATAAAAACTTAAATCCTGTTTTCTCCATGCATTTCACCACTTGCCGCTCGTTGTCCTTTGCGCGACGGGCGGTTGACCTTGGGTGTGGGTTTATCCTTAGCACACAGAACTGTGAACATTTCTATTTTACGTCCCATAGAGCTTATGGGTGTGGTTTACTAGGACAGAAAGCGAATTTTCCGCTTTTCGCAGCGCGAAACTTTCTTCGCTGCAGGAACCTCACGTCCACCGCTGATCATGGCTGCATCTGGGGTTCTTGCCGCGAAAAACGTTTCACGTGTGAGAAGCGGGAAATTCGCTTTTTTCATAAATATTCCTTTCCTCTATTCCCCTTCATAAAGGCTGAGGAAATCATCTTGTATTTTTCTTAGCGGACTTCTTTTCTGAAGTTTCGGTTGAAATCGGAAAGGTAGGTTCCATCGATTTGTCACAGTGAAAATGATGTGGTTTTATTTAGTACAGTTTCATATAGGTGTTGTATAAGCTCCAGGTGTTTAGGTTGATCGATTTTGCGTTCAATTCTTTATTCGTAGTTTCAATGAACGACCACATCTCTTTTACACTCAGAAAGACATCGCCTATCGAATTCCAAGTCGTTATGAAGTTCAACTATTGATGAAGAATCGAAAAGAATCAAAATTCTGTACCAATCTGAACACCTGGAACTCACACAATACCAACATAACTGTACTAGATGAAAGGACAATCTATTCTCACACTTCAACAAATCAAAAACCCACCTTCAGATTCCAATCGAATCTTTAAAAAAGAAGTTCGATCAAGAAATGAGGAAAGGACCGATCGAATCAAAGGGCTTGACGTGAAGGTAGAGGATATTGTGTGCAGCCGCACCAACTAGACACGCTACTTGACGCGCAGCATTAAATATACGGTATTCAACCCTATCCTCCTGAGCTTATAATCTTGTCTGAAATATCGACTCGAGGAAAGAGGCACTAACTTTGTGTGACCTCAAAGTCAGGTTCGTTCAGAAATGCACAGAAATCCTGAAGGCACGGGGTTGCGATTTAATCTTATTTCCTGCTTGAGTATATCGAAACAGCCGAGTGTATCAATCAACGGCCGATTCAACGGCAGCTGCGGCGCGATTGTCACTGGGTCAGATTTGCTGAAATCCCAAAAAAAAACCGTCGAAATCTACACCCTCGATGAAAAGGTTGCATTCCTCCATTTCATAACCTTTGAAGCAGTTTGAGGTAGGGTTAGATAGAGCTGGATTTCGCGTTTCCAAGAAGTATTGAAATTGCTCTGAAAGCCTTCCATGCAGAAAGATAGGGTCTCTCAAATTTCGTCGAGTAAACGTCGAGGATGCTGAAATTTTCATGCTAGTTTTTGCCACTTCAAAAGCAATATCTCTCTAATGTCGTAAGGTCCTGAAAAAGGGAAGATAGTTTTGGAAAGCGGAAGGTTTGCGCTTTCTGATGTCTTCTTAGCTTCTTCTTCTACATTTCCCTAGTTGAGAAGATAAATCTGCGCGAAGTACTAACGGACGGACGGATCCGGCCACCTGAAAATCCGCTCCCTCCCTTCACCATTGCAAGTGTAATTGTTGGCAACGCTTGAAATGGGTCTAGAAAACATCCTCCCAACATAAGCAATAGGAAAAGGGGCAATCGTCATCATCGAATTTTGTCTGAGTATAGGCCATGCATCCGACCTCACTCGAAGTTGCAGAATCGATTCGAAGGTGTCATATGATCATGACCAGTTGACAGAAGCTGCATTGTAGTAAACGCATTTCGTAACTCCTACAACCTGAAAGAACAACTTCATTTGCCCAGGGCTTTTTCCTTCACGGTTGTCGTTTTTGCGACAGGGTCCCTAACAACAGTGTCATTCTCAGCGAGGTATTAAGGGAGAAGGAGCGAGCGATAGGCAGAGGAGGTGCCTTTGCAGCGCGTGCGCACATGTGGCCTTCTTCTTTGCGGGGATGCACTTTCATTCTTTGTACTGCCTTCAAATACGCCCTTCTCATGAAGGTGGAGGAATGGAGCGACTGAACCTGCAAAGAAAATTTAATATCATGTTTTTTTTTCAGATATTTTCATTTTCTGCTGCGCTATACCCTCTTACCTATCTGCACCACGATACCACTGCTGTTACTGACCCCCAAGAGTACGACCCCCCATGACCAGCCCGACAGGTACGACCCCCCTGTCGAGGATTTCCTCGACCGATATTCACCCTGATTACGACGGTTAGCTAGCCCTTAAAATGAGCGCTTCCGACAGAATCTTTTCCATTTTTCTTT